GGGAAAAACCCAAAACAACCTTCGTCAGAGTAATGTAAAGAGGATTGAATAAGATAATACATACAGGAAGGCACTTGGTTTATTTTTGTGTACAATAGCTGTTAGTTCCCTTCACAAAGAAAGGATGAATCACAAGTAAAAGTTAAAAATGCACCAACAGGGAACAGATCTGGAGAGAAATTTTTTCCCCTCTTAACTAAAATAGAATAGTAGTAAGGTGGATAATAATTATCAGATGATTAGGGATTAAGACCAGCAATAATACTAGGTATTGGTTTGTAAGAAATGAAAAATGTCATTTTTTTGTAAGATGATTAAAACTATGTACATTTTTATTCAAGCAAGAAAATTAGACAATTTACCATAGTCATAAGACTAACAAGCAGAGAAGGCGTTAATATGCTTAACTATCTTACCTTATAGTTAAAAAATTTTGTCACATGAGCAAACAGTTCAAAGCTGAAATCCATGTCAATGGAGTCTCCTAAACTCGCCGCAGCCATGCACTTTGCTGCATACCATCCCATCTGTCTAGCCTGGGTCCACAGCCTCATCTGAAATAGTGAAAAAATGTTACACAATGTCATTTTTCATGATCATTATTTCAAAAATGTTATCTTAACCTCGTAAATTCACTTAAAGGAGTTCAATGTTTGAGAGTCTTTCTGTCATCTTTGCCACAGAAGCAGTCACCAATGGACAACTAATCAGACTGATTTTTGGTATTTGTTAATTCTATCTAAATTACTGCCTCTAAAATTAAAAGATGGTACCAATCATGCCTGTTTTAGTAACATGTCTATTAAATATTATGAAACTATATTAAGCTATACCAGGTGAGAAAAATGTTTTAATTAACCAGTCCTTTCTTCAAAAATTTGTCATCACCATTAATAGAGATGTCAAATTATCACTGAAGAATTTGTTCTGTTTTCCAGCAACCTTCACTTTTATGCGCTAGTTAAGGTCTGCCGTGCTGTTGACCTCAGTGGTCAGACAGACTGTTGGTGCCTCACCTCAGGATAACATAAATATTTCAGCAACTGATTCTGGGAAGTCATTTAAATTGTTTTGTATGACAGTATCAATTTATCCTCTATTGTATTTTTATTTTATTTCTACAAAGTTTTGAGACTCCCTAGTATAAAAGAACACTGATCTTGGAAGTCACGGTGGATTTTAATATCACCAGATCTACACATATAGTTAACTTTTCTTGAGCCTCAGTTCATTTACCTGAAACATAAACATAACACTACCTACTCCGTAACTACTGAGAGAATTAAATAGACTGGCCTCTAATAAGCACTTGGTTTCCTTCTACCTCCCTGTATGTGCACATGTACTTAATGCTATCTTTTGTTTGCAGAAATAATATCATAATCATAGACATGAGCTTTAAGTCTTTCTAGCAGAAGTGATACAGATTTTTTTTTTTCAATCTCCTCTGTAAACAAGGTATAGATTAGATAAAGTGAAAGGCAGTTTATGGCTAGGGGTCAGAAAAAACTGAGCACAGTTACAACTAGAGAACAGCTAATGGAACTGGCCTGAAAATTTGCATCTTGAACTGCATAAACTAATTAGTATCCTTATTGCTTGTGTAAGCCAAGACATGGGGTCTATAAAGTGCACTCAAAACAAGGGACATCTGTTTGTTTTTGGATTTTTTTTCCCCTCTTTCAGATTTTAACACATTAAGATATAATTTACCCCGGATAATTAAAAATGTTAAAAAAAAAAACCCACAAATTCCAACTCTAAGAATTTGTGATAGTCTTGCCACAGAAATGACATAGAATGAGGCAGGTTAGAAACAAAAAGGCTGCAACCACTCTCCTATTACTGATGTCTCTACTATCTGTAAGAACACAAAATGATGCTGCTGCCTCTTGAAATACTTTTAGCTCTTCTACTACTTCACACTGCATAGTTAATCTGAATGAATAAAGTCCCTCATTGTGGAGCTGGTCTTTAACAAAGATAAATGTTGCAGGGTTCCTTTATCTCAAACATCTACCTAGGTCTCTACCCCTCTGCACACCTCTGGTCACTGTCTTTATCTTCCTTTAGTATTTTTGTTCCACCGTTAGGAGGATGTAGGTAAAGCTGTGAGGGTTGGAAAAAGTCTAGATCTAGTTGGGACTTGTTAAGGCTCAGGAAAGGTGTTTACGACAGGA